TCAATTGGTTTTAGGGTGTGATTCTTAGACTTAGCGTTGTTTCGGGCGTTTCGAGGGTTCAAGCGAGTCTGTTTTATAATTCCAAACTTGTTGGTATGTTCGGGCGGGGCCTCGGAGGCCCCGAGCGTTAATCGGACGAGGCTCACGCTAAGTTGGAAATTTGAGAAAGAGCTGAAGCTCCAAATTTGTCATAACCGCACCTGCGGTTGGCCAGCCACAGTTGCGAGATTGCAGAAACGGATTAACAATCGCAGATGCGGCCCAAGCGTAGGAGCCCAGGTTCCGCAGATGCGGCTCCTCTTCCGCAGAAGTAGAACCGCAGAAGCGTTCCCCAGACCGCAGATGCGGCCCCAGCTAGCCCGGCCCAATTTTGCAGAAGCGGATGATCCCTTGCAGAAGCGAGACCGCAGATGCGGTCCCCTAACCGTAGGTACAGGAATCGCTGAAAGCAGTGCCTTCATTTAATATGGGAAAGTGTCATTTGCGACACATTTCTTTCATTTCTTGGGCGATTTGGGAGCTTCCAAAAGGGAGATTTCAGCCTAGCATTGTGAGGTAAGTTATTCCTACCTAATTTGAGTTTAATACATAGTTTATGGGTAGATTATACCATGTAAATTAGTGAAAATTATGGGTTTATAGTAAAACCCAGGGTTTTGATAAAAACAAGATTTAACCACGAAATTTGTTATGGAATGTAGAAGAAATCATATATTCTTGATCCTTAGGTTATGGGTAACACCTTTCTTCAAAAAATTCGGAATCCAGGCACGTGCGCCCGGGGGTGAATTTTAGAAACCTTGCATTTAGGGTTGGGAAATTAATTTAATAGTTAGAATATGAACTCTTGAGTATGTATTGACTAGTTTTTACCCCATTTGAATAGTTTTGGATCGTTCGGCTCCGATTTGAGCGTTTGAGCGCATTCTTGAATTTGGAAGTAAGCTTCGGGGCAAGGTACGTCTCTTTTCTAACCTTGTAAGAGGGAATTGTACCCATAGGTGAATTAATTGGTTATATGCTTCTATTTGTGGGGGGCTACGTACGCATGTAGTAACGAGAGTCCGTGCGTAGCTATTATTATGCTTAAGTCTGGGTAGTGTAGGACCCGAAAGAATGCTTTATTTGTCGTACTTGCAACTTGGTTGTCAATTTGAATTGCGTGAATTATATCCAACTTGGCAAATAAATTACTAAAAAGTTAAGACATCATTTTATTTACCGTTAAAGAGAAATTAACATTACTTTGGGTAATTGCCTTTCTGATGAATTCTTGATTGACTGTTTGGTGTGTTTGTTTGTATTTTACCGCGTCGCATGTATGATTCGCGAGCGGAGTAATAGATGCATTTATGGTTCACGCCGTTCGACCCTTCGAGGGTGCACACTTTATTATTATGTTGGATCGGGCCATACGATCTCAGCATTATTTGTGCATGTTGTTTGCTTAGTACCTTCTATGATTGAACTACTTACAATGCCTTGAAATATAGATTGTTAATAGAAATGTCGGAAACTGAAGTACTATTTATGAAAGAACCATCACGTCCTATTATTATCTGTTATTTATCCATGATATCCATGTTTAGCGAACATTTAAATCATATTATTATTAACCCTAGTAAGTGTCGAGTTGACTCTCGTCTCTACTTCTTCGAGGTTAGACTAGATACTTACTAGGTACATATTGTTTATGTACTCATACTACACTTCTGTACTTAAATGTACAAGGTCTGAGGCAGGTACATCTGGCTACCAGTCCGGCGCGCGTTCCTGATACCTGATTGAGATCTCACGGTGAGTTGCCCCTTCTGAGCCATTCTGCAGCTTGCCGATCCTTTTGTCATTTATTGTTTATTCTATTTCAGGTAAGGGTGTTAAACGGGTGGGCCGGTCCGGTCTGGGTTGGGATTTTTTATACCCGTACGGGTTATGGTCCGGGCCAATTACGAGTTGGGACTTATCGGGTTTAACGGGTTCGGATTCATCCGGGTAAAAATTGAACCGTAAGGGTTACGGGTTAAGGGGGCCGGGCCGGGCCGGGCCGAGTTTAGTGTATTTTTTTTTGTATTTTGTATAACTATTGTAAGTTATATTAATACTTTGTATTAATAGAAAGAATACAAGGAAGATGGGGAAAAATTACACTTATAAATTGCAAGTGCTACATTTATTTCAAAATTACAAAATTAAAGTTTGCATTTAAAAAGTAAATTAACAAAAAAATAGTAAAACTAAATTTTCATGCATAATAAATAAATAATACTTCAAATTAATCTAACAAACTAAAACATTAAGCATAAATACGTCTAATAATTTTAAAATAACATAAATTGTCTTAAAATCTTAAATACGAATTTCCGGAGGACGCTCAAGACAATACTTTATATGCCTCCTTAAACTGCCTGTGCCAGACCCTGAACGAAGATTTAAGACTTGACCGCAGTTCTTGCACTTTACTTTCCGACCTTCTTCATTTTCTTCTACCACCTCAAAGTGTTGCCAAACATATGAGCGCACTCTAGAAGTACGAGGCATGATTTAACTTGAATTGAGATTTGAGAATTGAGATTGAGAAATGATAATTGAGAGATGAGTGAAGAAATGAAGGAAGTGGGGGGGGGGGGGTATTTATAGTTTTTAAAAGGAGGGTTAATTTTTTTTTTTAAAAACCCAAAATTGGGCTAATTGTGCAATTCAGCCGTTGGGCAATGGCCATTTTCTGAAATGGACCGTTGCCAACGGTCAGACCTGGGCCCATATTTAAAAAAAAACCTTTTTTAACGTTAAACCGGGTCGGGCCGGTCTGGTCTGGTCTGGTTAATCGGTTTACGAACACTGTTCACCTAACGGGTTGTACCGGTCCGGGTAACCGGTATTTCAAATGTAAACAGAGCAACCCGTGTGGCCCCCCTAACCCAGCCCAACCCAACCCCCTTTAACCGGTCTGGGCCGGTTTCGGTTTTAACCGGTCTGGGCCGGTCCGAAATCGGGCTGACCCGGCCCGTTTAACACCCCTAACTTCAGGCAGTAGGATTAGTTGTATTTTTCGTACATTCTACTAGTTGCCCTAGTACTTGTGACACTAGTTCCTGGCACACACATTAGTAGGCTATTATTTTTGGGTTATATTCATATTGCTATGGTCCCTTTTAGTCTTTCCCAATTTAGTCGCCTTATAATTTATTAACTATCGATTGCCTTGACTTTAAGTTAAGTAAATGTCAAGAATGATTAACGAAAAGAATGAGAATTCACTAGTTGATTAGAGTTGGCATGTCTAACAACGGTGTTGGATGCCATCACGACCTATAATGGAATTTGGGTCGTGATAACATGGTATCAGAGCACTAGGTTCACGTAGGTCTCACAAGTCATGGGGAAACCTAATAGAGTCTGGTGGATTGGTACGGAGACGTCTGTACTTATCCTCGAGAGGCTATAGAGTGTTAGGAAACTACTCTCTATTCATATTCTATCGTGTAGTTGATGGTATACTAAATTTCCTTCTTCTATTCTCTCACTGATGGTGAGGATGCGCACGACAGACGTTTCAGACCCGGGAGTGGCTGCTCCCCCCCTCCCCCGTTGCTAGAGGCTGGGGAAGAGGCCGGGGGATGGTATCGACCCGAGGTAGGGGACGAGGGCTTCCCTGAGTTGCCCCAGTTTCACCACCAACGGATCCAGCAGGGGATCCCATTATTGAGGAGCAGAGCGAGGGGTCCGCAATAGAGCCTTCCCTGGCGGATTTCATGACAACACCGGGCTTCCAGGAGGTCATGGGCCGCATGTTGCACTTCATGGATTCCATGACTCAGGCTGGTTTATTTCCAGCAGACCCAACCACATCTCAGGTAGGAGGGGGAGCACAGACCCCTACTGCTCAGGCTTCTGGTCATGCAGCTGCAGTATATCAGACTCCGGGTGCACTACCCGCGTATAGGGCTCGACCAGTTGTTGTAGTGGTACCCGAGCCCAGGCCAACTTCGGACGACGATTAACAAAAGTTATTGGATAGATGGACTAGACTACACCCTCCTATTTTCGGGGGCGAGCGTCATGAGGATGCCCAGGATTTTATTGATAGGTGCAGGGACAGACTGCACAACATGAGGATATTGGAGTCTCATGGGGTTGACTTCACTACTTTCCAGCGGTTACTCAGGTCCCCAGGGTTCTTCCAGCTCCTAGACTAGTGCTATACCAGAGAGTTCATACCGCCCACCAGCTATTCAGAATTCCTCTAGTGGGTATTTAGGCCATCCGGGCTAGACTTCAGGGCAGCAGTCTATGGCGCCGAGAGATTGCTACGAGTGTGGAGATCCGAGTCACATGAAGAGGGCCTGCCCCAGACTTCGGGGCAAGGTAGTGCTGTAGGGCCAACAACCCATAATTTCAGCACCATCTGCCCTGCCGCCCAGAGGCAGAGGACAGACGGGTAGGGGCCGTCCTAGAGGAGGAGGCCAGGCAGGGGAAGGTCAGCCAGCTACTGTTCAGTCACGTGGAGGCCAACCAACCGGCACTTCAGCTAGATTCTATGCTTTTCCGGCCATACCAGATGCATTGGCCTCAGATTCCGTTATCACAGGTATTATTTCCGTCTGCGGTAGGGATGCTTTAATGCTATTTGATCCAGGGTCTACCTATTCATATGTATTATTTCTGTTTGCTCATTTTCTGAATATTTCTCGTGTGTCCTTGGGTACTCCTGTTCATATGTCCACTCCTGTGGGCGATTCTGTGGTTGTGGATCGGAATTATCGGTCATATGTGGTCACATTTTGTGGTTTTGAGACTAGAGCAGATCTCCTGTTGCTTGATATGACCGACTTTGGGGTCATCTTGGGCGTGGATTGGTTATCCCCATATCACGCCGTCATAGATTGCCATGCCAAGACTGTTACTTTAGCGATGTCGGAGTTGCCAATACTGTTACTACTACATATAAATATAGATAGATAATGGACCCAAACTTGTTCGGACTCGTAAAACGACGTCGTTGATGAAAAAAACAACGTTGTTGATAAAGACGCGAATTCTCCGCCCTCCCGGTTCTTCGTCAAGGTTTCAGCAAAACCCTGATTCACTAAACTCCCGAAAAATTCAGGTAACAATGGTGACAGCGATGGACTGCAGGAGCTGGGACGAAGACATGTACAGAGACTCCATTTTACTGGAGAGAGAATCCCAATGCCGAACTGTTTTCCGTACTGCATTCGCCCCGAACACGAATCCAAACCGTAATTCTTATCCGGACCTCATTGTCGCCGCAACGGCACTATCGCCTCTTACTCCATCTCCTCTTGCCTCGTAATCTCAATATCTCACTCTAACTTAAAGAAGCAAAAGTTATTAACTAAAGTACTTAGTTTTTTTTTCTTTCTTTTTTTTGCTTCTTCGTCTTGGTAGGATTGAGGTCCGCGGGTAGGTAAGTTCCTGTTTTCTCCATGTTTTCGAAGTGTGGCGGTCATCGTTTGGATTGAATTGATAATTTATTTGGTAAATTTGGTTTAGTTCGTTGGTGCTAGTTGTTGAATCTAGTTGGCTGGTACAAGGACATGATGGACCTGCTTATGATGTTAAATTTTATGGTAACGATGAGGATTCACTGTTATTGAGGTATTTGTTCTTATAAACTTTTTCGGTTCGTATGTATTCACTAAAATTGTAGGTGAGTTAGCACAAACGGAAAACAATTCAAGTTTTTGTTTGGAGTGAAAACTGAACACTATGGGCATATATTTCTTCAAGCATTTGAAATGCAGGTAGATATCTATTAAATTAACTAGAGCTCATATGTCTTAAATGGTCCTAGCTAGTGACTGAGCTGTCAAACAACTAGGTCAACTGATTTTCTTTTCAATTGGTATACGTAAACGGGGAGGCAATTATCTCATGGTACTTATCATTCATAAATAAAGGAATTATCTAGTATAATTTCTTCAATCACTGTTATTTATGTTCTACTATACATGCCGATTCTTTGTTAATGTAGGTGATATCATGCAGTTGTGGTGATGATGGTCGGATTCGTGGATGGAAATGGAAAGAATTATTGGGGTCTAACTTCTAAGGAGCTGGTGCAAGGTACAATTTTTTCGTGTGCAGCGATAGATCCTTGACTGGTTTGGGATTGAGTTGACTAGTCATAGGTATTGTAGTTGTTAACTGACAGATCCTCTATCATCCTACTTTGAACATTTGAGGACATATGCTTGATGTTGCTTCTATTTCTAATATATGACTCATTTTTATTTTTATGGGCAAGAAGCATCGATTCTCATATTTGAATATGGGCAATACTAAAAATTATGCAGCTTAATAATCTGTTTGCTGCACAAACTTGTCATAATGTCTTTGCGTTGTGAGAGGAAGTCGAAGAGTGAAAGAATTGGGGACTGGGATCCATATGTAATTGCTTCTTTCATTGCCTTAATAAATTAGAAGTTGAAAGTGTCGATTTCAGCAACTTAGAGTTTTCAATCTGCCCATCTTGTAGCAGTTTCTTACATCTGTAATGCTGTCAAACTTCAGGGTGTTAATTTTGAGTTCGACGCATTTGTAGTCAAGTATGTGTTTCAGATACAAGAGACACAATTTTTCTTGGCAGTTAAGCATGTATCTCAATCTACGAGTGTATGTGCCCCCCTGCATATTACGGTCAAGGACATGGACATTGGGCACAATACAGAGTCAGATACAAAAGACAATCTTTTGAAAATATGGGGGGCATGCCAGCTGTAATGAGCTATAGCTTAACATAGTGTTCCACTAGTTTCATTAGGAATAACCAAAAAAAAATGAACCTTGAGGATTCAAGACACCATAACTACATAACATAGAAGAGTTCTACCGAATATAACAATAAAAAGTCTTAACATATGTTTTCGCCTAGGACAGGAGGCAGCTCTTTTTCTTCTTTATTCCATTCTAAAGTCACTAAGGGAACATACTCTCGATTGAGAAAAAATTTTCCACCTATTTTGTATCCATTTCGTGGATCAGGTTCCAAGCGAATGATACCAAAAGAAAGGGAGCACGCTATAGGACACTAGCTGGCGTTTACTTGGGCCCGTCCGAAGCTCCATGTTAAAAGGCTTTTTTGGTTGAATTGGTTTCGATCTTTAGCATGCAAATTTACTTTGTAATACTTGTTACTACATAAAAAACGCCATTATATCTTTTGAATTTATGTCTTAAAAGTTATTGAAGTGGGGAATAATTGATACATCTAGACTTTTTGCTGTCTGACGGAAGGACTCATAGTGTTCAGTATCAAGGACATCTAACTTTAAAACATGAAACAAGGACTTGCGACACCATCTGGTTGGGCTGGAGTTCGTTCCAGTTGGTTATTTAGGTTGTGGCTTTATGTGATTCTTTTAATGCTTAAAATAAAGTCTAAGGCAAGGGTGTCTGGGGAGAATGTCTTGATTATGCTTTTTACTGATAAAAATTAGTTTTTGAGAAAAAATCGGAAAAACAGATGAAAAAAAGGAGTAGATATACCAGAGGCAAACTGCCACAAATGTTGTTAATTGAATGACAAAGAAGTGAGGAAAAGCACTTTCTCCACCACCTAAAAAGCTGGCAGATACTAGTCTTCAAATGTTCTTGCCTCTTTCTTATCTGGAATGTAATTTCTTGCATGTCTTTCTAACCCTCACACTTGAAGCATGGTCCTTTTTTGGTCCCCACACTATGTATGTTGTGTGCTTCTGAGATACTAGCTTAGCCAAAAACCAAAACCTATTCAATGAACATCCTTTTTCTGTATGTGGCAGAATTGTTTTTGCAATCATATGAATTCTTTGAGGTGACAGTGCTTTACTTGGTGAATCCTCTACAAAAGTAAGCTATTGGAAAACGTGAAATAATTTCATGATAAAGAATTTCATACCTCTTCTGAGACGGTTTGCATCACTGATAGGTGCTGATATTGCATGCATAGCAATTGATGTGCAACAAAAGACTACTTGTTCAGAGTTTAAACATTTTGTCTATGCAAGCTTCCTGCTTACTTGGTGGTTTATTGATATTTTCCTCGCATACTTGGTGCTTAAGAAGATTCCTCAATGCTTTTCTTAGATCTATTATTTTTTTCTGGGGTGGGTGTGGGGAGTTAATAAATAAATTGCAATCTAAGTTTTAGATCCACGGTTAATTCATCACTAGTTTATATTGGTCTTTAGATGACTTTTTATCTTCGCCTTCTATATCTGAAAATTAGTTATTGTTACAATGGTGAGTGGTTCACTAATTGCATCTTTCGTTTTACTTTAAACTATTATTGCTTTTCTGTTCCAACCATGTTCTCATATCTCAGAGGTCCGTGGGGTTCGCTTTCTCCAATTCCAGTGAATAATTGCATGGCTGTTAATACTCAGGTTTGTTGTCCTTTTATTTTTTTCTAAATCAACCGAGTGGCTTCTTGATTGACAGTCTGGAATGAGTGGATTGGACTATATGTAAGTCTGATTGCAGTTGACAGAAACAACTTCTCTACTCCTTTGGGGTAGAGGTAAGGTCTACGTACACACTACCCTACCCATACCCCACTTGTGGGATTTTACTAGGTCGTTGTTGTTGATTGCAGTTGACGCGTTAGCTGGTTCAGACAGGACCCAGGAGGTATAGGTAGATTGTGGTTAGTTATCTTTTCCTGGTTAGAGTCTCGTTTTGGTACTGAGATGCAAACCAGTTCTTTAAGTACAGATGCTTTTTGTTATGAAGGAATATCTTGGGTCCTTCACTACATTATGATGGTCATTGAAACCTATATACTGTGCAGCAATGAGGCAATATTTCATTTCATTTCCTTTTTACAAAGAAGAGAGTGAAGTGTGGTGGCGGTGGAAGCTATTATTTTTTTCAAATTGTGTAATCTACTAGAATTGCTAAATTTGTGGATGAACTACAAAAGAATATCTTAGTAGCAGACAATTTGTCTTATTCATTTGATTCTTTGGTGCATTACTTTTGGGGGGTTGCCGGTCTTCTTTTGTACATTAGACCTACTCTATTTTGATATAGTATTGTGTGTGTGATTCTTGAATACCAAATTTCGTGAAGGATTCCAGGCACAACCGTAGGAAGTGGTTTGGAGAGAAGAATCAAGTGACTACGTAGGGATTCATGTTGAGTGGACTTCCGGGTTACGGTACCATAGCTAGAGCTGTTAGTTCAAAGTGTCTGACATAGTTAACTCTGTTAATTTACCTGTTTATATCACATGGATTCTTCTCTTTCGTAGGTCAAGTCTGATATTCTGATTGATCCTTTTCAAAACTTACCTCAAAGTTGTCATGTCTACATATTTTTATTTAATATTTTGTGTTCCACTGTAGACTGGATCCATTTTTGCTGCTGCTGCTGATTCTTGTGCATACTGCTGGGATTTGCTCAAGGTGTATTGTTGACTCCTATTATGAGATCTCTTAATCGATTCATTCTTTTGGTTTACTTTATCGACTTATACTTCGACTCTCTTCGTTGCTTATTCTAAATAAGATTTTTGTCATGAAAATCTAAATAAAGTTAAGGTGCTTAGGAGTAGAATGAAGTAAAGTTGGTTTTGAAAGGACATTCAGACTACTTGCATTGCATCGTTGCGGGAAATTCTCACAATCAGGTAAAGCTTTTGTTTGTCTCTTATTCTGTCACCCATACACTCTCTCTCTCTGTCTGTATAGTCATTACCTTTTCCATTCTATGGACTCCATGTACCAAATGCTTATGGTGCTGGCTAGTTCTCCCTCCCTCTTTTCAAGATTTGATTTCTCCCATTTGAAGAGATTTTGTTATGGATAGGAGTGTGTGATACCCATGTTGCTGGCTCTTCACTTTGAGGTTAAAACTAAACTTGGCATATGAGCTGGAAAAAATCCTGTTCCTTGAAGCTTTTAATTGTTCAAAATTCTTTTAGTGCAATGGCACCTTCATGTTTTGTTTCCTTTGGGGGAATAGAATATAAATATAGACGTGTATTTTTGTTTTGCTTCATCTCTCAATCTTAATGGGAGGGGTGACTTACTTTTAAGTTGAACGATTGGAATTTGAGCTCAATTTTAATTCTGCCTTGTTTCTTTTTGCTTCTCTCTTTCTCTCGCTTGGCATTTTTCAGGTTATAACTGGTTCAGAGGATGTGACAGCACGCATATGTCTTTAATATTCTTTCTACTTCTAGCACTAGGAGCACAAGGTCTGCCGCAGGGGCATCTAGTTTTTTTTATCGTTCAGTAATAGGAGCACAAGGCCTGATGAATGGCCAATGCTGGCTTTTATTGATTTGGGCTCTCTCTGTTATTTAGAAGTTACACATGATTTTGCTCATTTGGATCTTTCTTTTTTTATGTTTTGATTATTTGTCTATTATTTGTGAAATTGCCTTAGATTGCAGAACTGGTAAATGTATTCAAATAATTGATCCGCCAAAGGATAAGAAGTGGAGGGAGTTGTTTCCATATGTCAGTTGCATTGCTCTTGATTTAAGTGAGAGTTGTCTGGTAAGAGTTCAGATTCCTTTAAACACCAAATGAACTTTCTCGTAAGTTTGCTACTGCACCAACAATTACAATTGTTGTATTGACCAATCAAAAGTTCTCTCTGTTGTATTGTGAAATTACAGAAGCTTACTTTTGTTAATGATGTTGGGATGACCTACTGTATGATTATAATAATCTTGTCAATGATGACCGGTTTTCTTGAAGATTATAGTAAGATATGAATCTCCTACTTTAGGAGAGTTTACATTCTAGTTATTCATGATTTTCTTTCTATTAGTTCTCTTTGTTATGTCTGATGAAACAGTTTAAGATAGCAGTTGCTAAATTATGTTGCTCGGATCCTCCAAAAATGCCGCCATACCATGTCGAATCCTCCAAAAATGCATTATTTTCTTTAAAGATCTTACACACGCGACGATATTTTTGGAGGATCCGAGCAACATAATAGAGTTGAAGATGGTGGAAATGGGTGTGGAAGCAAGGTGGAAGTTTGTAAGAAAGGAATGCATGGAGATGTTGAAGATGATGAATAGAAGAGGAGTCTTGGGAAGAGGATGAGGAAGGGGAGGGGTTTGGGAAGAAGGTACCCCGCTGGATGGTTGGGGGGGGGGGGTGTCTAAAGTAGTATTTAATTTATTTTCTTTTAATTCTTTTTTTAACTCAAAAGCTTTTCTTTTTTGCTGCTAGTTTAATTTGTTATTTTTGTCATATCATCACGGATGAAGCTCTATATATTTTGCTGGTTAGATATGAAGTGTTCAATAGGTACACTTTGAATAAAGTTAAAGTGTTTAATAAGAACAAACCTCAATTTAAGTGTCAAAATAAAAATTGGTGACAAGTTTAACGGGATGCCTGCCTATAAAACATGGAAATGGTTAGTTAAAGAGTTTCAAAGCTCTTTTTTTGAGTTTAATGCTATAGTGAAAAATGGGAGAAGGTTATAATGAAGTGTAAATCCGAAGTTTCTTCATTTGCACGTGGTATTATCACATTCTCATTTATTTATGTGAAACATTTGATTAAGAACAGAAGCCGAAGTGTTAATACAATAATATATATAAATACAGTAATAATTTGGAAAAATGGTTTTCTAGTTGTAGAAAAAATTAATTTGACAAAAAAATGATATTGAAATCTGAACATGCAGAGGAGATGAATTTAAAGACTTGGAATTCGTTGAAGTTGTAGACAATCATATTATTAAACTGATACCGTATCTGAAGGGTATGCATATTTTCAATGTTTCGGCGAGGGTGTATCAGCTGTAATTAGAAAGAAAGTACGTGATGGAGGAATATTAGTGTGTCAAAGCAAATTAGTCAAGGAAATAACGACACTAGTGCAAAATTTTATAAAGAGTAAAACCAAGCAAGACCCTATCATTCTTGTTCGAAAAATACTTCATATACTCACATTTCTTTCGTTTTTTTCAAACTAGAAAGGAAACGAACTATTAAAGAAATTTTAAGAGACAGGAGCAACTCTAGGCTCTATTTCAGAATCTCCTTCTCATCTCACGTACTACTATGATAGTCTTTAATTATAACATTCATGCAAACTCATACGATTATATATATTCCTAGTAATTGATTTTCGGATATGATAAGCTAGATAATTCAGAATTCCCCATATATATCCCCTAAGTTGTTTTGAAAACAAACAAGAGATTAGAAAAACACATACATCAAATAGCATTCTAAAGAAAATTAAAGATGAAACGATAACATTTATAATTAATGTATACACCTCTCCGACATGCGCCTGAAGGCTAGCAACAAAGGGGATGGCACAAGTGATTGGTTGCTTCCTGATTAATTCTTCAATCCCCTCTTTAGTGGTCGAGCTAGGTACTTTCTCATAGCCATCAATGAACACAGTTCTCTGGGACAAAAATTGCAAAAGCTAAAACTTTTTGGAGAACAAATAAAAAAAACTCAAAATATTAATTGAATTGTTATAACAATATGACTTACAGCGGTGGGGTGGACACAATCTCCTCTCATCTCATTATATTCATATGCACTTTCTTCAACTATGCCATAATCCTTGGCAAATTCGTAAACCAAATTGTAATGCGCAGTATAGCAGGCACTTGTTTTTTTTTCCACACTCTTCAGGGAACGGACAGTATAGTAGTTGGGTGTGCAGTCAATCAATTGTTGTTTGGAGAGAGGAATGACTTCCTTATTCTTAATGGCATATGCAGCTGTAATAGCCTCAGCTCCAGAAAAAGCCCAACAACAATCTTTCATTTGAAAATATATTTTATCACTTAACCAGTAATTAAAAAAATAAACATATATAGAAAGAGCAATTGAATAATCAAAACAGAAAACAAAACACTAGAAGACATACTACAAGTTCCTTGATGATCGATTGCAAGGAGACATTCCTTGCCCACCCAACTGAATGCTGCCTGAAAAAAAATATTTATGAAAAAGAAGCATTTATATATATATAAATTGCTACTTTAAGGGGTTGTCAATCTTACAGGGTTGTGGCATCTTGATGCTAAATCAGCACAATATGGTAAACATTTAGCAACACAACTTAATTAAAAACCATATATATGAGATTGAAAACTAAAAAAGGAAAAAAATTAGAGAAACTTATGCAATGAAGTTGGAAAAATCATTATCTTGGCAGTAACAGAGGTTGAAAACTAAACCAAGATATATAAGCAAGAAAACTTGGAAAGAAGCTGTAAAGTAAACATCAAAAAGTTGAAATGCATGAAAAGGGTGAACTCTTTCTTACCTTTTGAAAGAAATCATCTTTGTAGAGGTCGGGGTCCTCAGGTCTTGAACAGCTTGGCCTCTCCATTTTGTTAGTGTTATATGGGTTTTGAGCTTATGGAGTAATGGTGATGTATTTGGGAAAATATATAGAAGGGGTCAGAGGGTGGTGCATGCTACAGTGTTAATGTTGTATGTATAAAATGATAGAAAGAGAAATAGGTGGTTTCTCTACTACTGTGCAATGCAGGTAAGAAAAGGACAAAAAGAGGGACGGGCTAATTAAGAAAAAGCTGTTTCAATTAGTACTACTAGTAACAGAATATGATCCCTAGTGCCAGTATATCAACCCTAGTTACAGCACTACAAAGAGTGACTAATTTTACACATGAGATAATTAAGATCAATCACTTCTTTTTAATGAAAAATTACTTAAGAAAAAAGTTACTTATCGCAAACATTTTCTATACCATAAAATTTAAACTCTAATCATATAACTCTAGCGAGTTCTATTCTTACATAATTGCGTATTATTTTTACACTATCAGTATATTTTTATTTGATATGACAAGTTACTTACCATTTATTCTAGATGATCAACTAATGCTTATTATATATAATGATGTCATTAACTTTTAAAGCCATCAGTACTTAAAACATAGACTAGGGAGAAATTCAAAAATAGTCAGATTTACAAGTGGTCATTCAAAAATAGCCACATTTTCAAAAGTAATCGAAATTTAGCCACTTTTCATGTAAAGATAAATCTGAACAAAAAACACTGTTTAAAATCCGGAAAAATACTCCAGTAAAATAGTGACTATTTTTTAATGACTTTACATATGCTGAATATTTTTAAATGACCAGTCCGAAAACTGGCTAGCCCGTGTTTTTTTAACCATAAACTAGCTCATAGAAAATAAAATGGGACCTACAATCTGTTTGAGGTAGGAATATTAGAACTCCTATATATATATATTTAATTATAAACCTGAGAAGAACCTCAAGTCATAAAGATAATACCGAATAATGATTTAAAAATTAAGATATAAAAAAAAGACTTTCCTACTATATACGAAATTAAGATAAATATATTCACAACTTGTATAACTCTTGAGCAGATAGACCAACGAGGACTAATTTGTCAGTTTTATCATTCAGTTGAATCCGAGACATGATCCTGCTGTGCAGTTAAATAGCTAGGAAATCATTTACAAATTATAATAATATCATCCTAATTTGCTGCAAGCAACCCCAAAAGATTGCTAACGACACTAGAATCACAAATGCCCACTGATAAAATGTCGCAGATTTGTCATTTGCAAATAAAAATTTCACTTTAGCTCGAAAGTTTATGTTCTGGTTGAATCAATATAGAGCAAGTTAACAAGTTGATATTCGAATTATTTCATGTGATAGCAAGAACTTATTGTATATATTGAGTTCATACAGATACATGACCAAAGCAATATGTGTCACACATATTGGCCGAGGGGGCGTTTGACATAGAACCCGTTTGGCTTAGCTGATTTAGAGTAGCTGATAAACATTAGGTGCTGATAAGCACTTTAAAGTGCTAAAATTGAATCAATATAAACTAAAAGTGCTTAATTTTACCAAACGCGTAGATAAGCTAAAAAGTGCTTCTAAGCCAGTTTGACCAGCTTATAAGCTTAGCCAAACACCCTCATAAGAATTGTAAAATTTCAAAAAAAGTGAATATTTTTTTGAAAATTTAAGTTGTGTTTAGGGTTGTTCTTGAAATTTTGTGATTGATCTGAGTGAGAATTTTGGAAAATAGCCTTTTGGAGTTTATAAAATTTTCGAATTAGAAATTTTATGGTCAAATACTGATTTAAAAAAAAATGAAAAAATATTCGTGATTGAGAAAAAGAAAAAAAGGAACCAAACCGGAGTTGATAATTCAAAATTAGGGGTAATAAGGACAAAGCATATACCTTATTTCTTGAATAGAAAGAAAGCAAAACTTTGTTCAGAAGGAATACGGAAAAGTAATTTTACAAATTCATAACTAGTTTTACGTGCAAAAAGTAAAACTTTAAAGCACATATCATAAAACTGTTTGAAAAATACAAGAGTTTATGACGTTCCAAATTTCTTATTGGGATAAATGTATTAAAGTTATGTCTTAAGTTGTAAGGTTGTTAGGAGGTAATTTTACAAATAGTGTAACATTATAATAATTGTTATAGGCAAAAAATTATTATATTAAGGTAAAATATACTATAAACTATTATTTCCAAAGAAAACTTCTCTCTCTCTCAAAAATCTTTGTCTTAGTTATTTGTTTTAATTGTTGTGTGCAGTTTTCAAATGTTATACAAAATATCAATGAAAAGGAAGAATAATGTTTGAACTATAATCTGAAAATATATTATGGTTCATATATATAGTTCGAAAGTTATTTGCATTGAAATTCCAACTTTAAAAGCTCTGCAGATATGGAATTTATTAAAGCTTTAGTTCAAAGAGTTAAACTGACTGAAAAGTAAATATGAAAAGATAGAGCTAGTCATATCATCGTATATTATGTACTAATTAAATAACACAAAATTTCATCATAAAATAAAATAATATAATAGAATTTGTTATGAACTATTATATTATGTAATGAATGTCTATAACTCCTAAAGAAGTTACTCCTACTACTTGTAACGACCCGGCTGGTCGTTTCGAGAGTTGTGGCCCCGTTTCCCATTTTTGCTTTTTTTGTGCTTTAGAGGTGAATTGAGACCAATTTCACCTTGTCTAATACATCCTGAACCAATTCTGTACCTCTTGCTAATATAGTTTGGTTTGTAGCTCGGTGTCTCAACTGTCAGCAGTTAAAATATGAGCATCAGAGACGGGTGAGTTGCTTCAGAAGATAGAGATTCTAGAGTGGAAGTGGGAGCGGATCACCATGAATTTCGTAGTTGGGCTGCCACGGACTTCGAGGAAGTTCGATGTTATTTGGGTGATTTTGGATCGACTGACCAAGTCCGCGCACTTCATTCATGTGAGTACTACCTATTCTTCAGATCGGTTGGCTGAGATTTACATCAGAAAGATTGTTCGCCTGCACGGGGTGCCACTTTCCATCATTTCAGACAGAGGAATGTAGTTTACGTCGCAGTTTTGGAGAGTCGTGCAGCGAGAGTTGGGCACTCAGGTTGAGTTGAGCACAACTTTTCACCCTCAGACGGACGGACAGTCTGAGCGCACTATTCAGATATTGAAGGACATGCTACGCGCTTGTGTCATTGATTTTGGTGGTTCATGGGACCAGTTTTTGCCGCTCGCGGAGTTTTCTTACAACAACAGTTATTAGTCGAGTATTCAGATGGCTCAGTATGAGGCTTTATATGGGAGACGGTGCAGATCTCCGGTAGGTTGGTTTGTGTGGATGAGGCTAGGATTTTGGGTACAGACTTGGTTCAGGATGCATTAGACAAGGTGAAATTGGTCCAGGAGCGGCTTCGCACGGCGTAATCGAGACAAAAGAGTTACGCTGACAGGAAGGTCCAGGATGTGTCTTACATGGTTAGGGAGAAGGTTCTGCTGAAGGTATTACCTATGAAGGGTGTTATGAGGTTCGGGAGGAAGGGCAAGTTGAGCCCTCGGTTCATCAGGCCTTTTGAGGCACTTTAGAGGATTGGGGAGGTGGCTTACAAGCTTGCATTGCCACCTAGCTTGTCGAGTGTGCACCCAGTACTTCATGTTTCTATGCTCCGAAAGTATATCGGCGATCCGTCTCATGTTTTGGATTTCAGCAAGGTTCAGTTAGATGATGATTTGACTTATGATGTGGAGCCGATGGCTATTTTGAAGCGGCAGGCTCGAAAGTTGAGATCAAAGGACATAGCTTCAGTGAAAGTGCATTGGAGAGGTCGGCTCGTGGAGGAAGCTACTTGGGAGACCGAGCGGGAGATGCGGAGCAGATACCCACACCTATTTGAGGCTCCAGGTATATTTCCAGACCCGTTCGAGGATGAACGCTTGTTTAAGAAGGGGAAGATGTAACGACCCTGTTACACCCCACGTTTTCGTACGTGAAAGTACGCCATAAGTAAATTGATATAAGCTCGGAAATGAGATGTTACATCCTGCATTTTCATACGTTAAAGTTTCGTTGTAAGCTAATCGACGTAAGGGAATGAGATTATTTGAGATTATAAGTATTATGCTATTTCAAATAAGTGGTAAGTAAATTCGTGAAGAAGAGGTTAAGCGAATCAAAGAAAATGAGTTCCGTCGGAGTTTGATAATTTGGGGATAAAATACGGTCCAAGCTATAATACCCGGTATTTATGGACTAGTGCCATACAAGATACCACATGACCAAGATAGTAAGGTGTATAAAGTATGTTAAAAGTGAGTAGTATTCTAAGTAATTTAAGATAATTCTTAATTATGTGGATAATTGAATAATTATAAATTTTTAGTGGGAGATTAACTAATTAATTAATTATAATTTGGATAAGGTTAGGTGCTCCCAACGTGACAGCATGTGTAAAGCTTTCATCAAGCCTAAGGTGACTAAGGTGTTATTAGGCTAGGTAGCATCTCGAAAGGGACTCTTGGCTAAGCCATAAAAGGCTCTCAAAATCACAAATATATGGAATGGAATGTAAGTGCTTTAGCAAAAGGATCAAAAGTTATATAAGATTATGATCAAAATTCAACAAAAGGCTTAGTTAATATATAGAATGGAGATGCTTACATCCAACCTCCAAGTAACGAGCCTTCGACAAAAGAATTTATCTGAGGATATACTACGAGACTTATTAGAAAATTAGCAACGGGAATTTGCGATTCTAAAGGAGTACGGTAAAATCTTTCTCAAGAATATCATACGTATTTTTCCTACTTCGATTCTGCCGTTATGTGTTCTTCACAAAAGACATGTATTAAAGGAATTGTCAAGAGAATCGGTCCAGGTATGTTAAGGCTAAACCTTTCCTTCATTTTGGCATGATCTAGTAACTACATGTGTTTGATAACGAGACATAAAGAGAAGTTCATTTTCCTAAATTTATGTACATTTTCCTAGTCTCATAAGTTACAGCATTCTCCCTTATTGGGACT